TACGGTGGCAGCAACGGCAGTGGGAGTTGAAAGGCGGCAGCAGAGGTGGAGAGTAGCATACAGCAACAACGACGAGTGCGGCCTGGAGGTGGCTTGGGCAAGCGGTTGGCTGCTTGTTGGTCGCGCTGGAGAAGAAAGGTGGCGCACGAGGTGGAGGTGCCGTGGCGGAGCTCGGATTGCGGCGGACCTCCTGGTCTTTGTTTCCTCACTTTGCGTTTAGTTCCTTTGCCTCTGCCCGAAATTCCTCCTCCAAATTCCAGATTTCGGCTGCCAGTTTCTTTTTTTTTTAGTTCCGTTTCTTGCTCTTCCTAAATTCCTCTCAGCTATCTTCTCCGTTTTCTGTTCCCTTTACTCTCCGCAGCCCCCTTCTCTGTTCTTTAGCCTTTCCTTAGCCGAATCCTCCCCTGTTTTCTTTCTTTTGCTTTGTTTTTCTTTCAGCCTTTTTCCTTTTGCTAGCAGCCCCTTCTCTGTTTTTTCATTTTTTGCCGTTCATCCTCTGTTTTTAGCCCGAAGCCTTTGCCTAAAAATCCTAACTTCATTCTCTTCTCTTTTCCCTTTTCTGCGTTTTTCTCTCCACCCAGATTCAGCCGCCCCTTTGTTTTCCTCTCAAGGCCGAAGCCCCCTGCTTAGCTCTCCAGATTTTTCATCGTCCCCTGCCCTCTTCTCTGTTTTTCTGGTTTTTTCTTCCCTTAGCTCCGCCCAAAACCTTCCCCTGTTTTTCCTTTTCATTCCCTCGCTTGCCCCCCAGCCGAGAGCTTCCTTCGATTTTTTTTAGCCTTTCGTACCTTTTCTCCTCTCTTAGACCTCCAGGTGTCTCAAACACCTACCCCTCCCTAAACACTTGTCCTACCATTCCTTAACCACTTGTCTAATGCTTATTTGCACACTTGTTCAACATGCAATTGACACACTTGTTTAATATGCTAATTTTCTAAAATTACCTTGCAAAATGCCTTAGCAAGAAAAAATCAAATTTAAAAAAATAAAATGGATCTTTATTCAGGATTTTTCCTAAAATTTAGCGTAAAATTGCTTTTAAAAAGAAAATGATGAATTTTAATGTATTAAAATAAGAATAAACATCAATTACTATTTGCAACCTCAAATCAATTAAAAATAATAAATATGAAACAAGAATAAATAAATAATGATAAAAACTAAAATTGAATCAAAGAGAGTCAGAAATTGAATAAAGCTAAATACAGTTAAGATTGAATTGATGAAATTTTTGGTGTCTACAGCGTATATTTGTATATTATAATTTTTCTATTTTTTCAAGTCTCATTGTTGCATATTTGTGATCTTTTCAAAGAATCACTTTTGGGCGTCGCAATTAATGCGATTTGCACCAACTAAAATTTGAAGAGACATATTGGCCTTTCCATTAGCCATTAGGTCTAGGTTTGCATTCATATAGTAACATTCAAATGTGATAAGTTTTTAGGTTAAACTAAGAAAATTTTCCGACTAAATCACGCAACTAGCTTTGGAAAATGCCGAAGTGGAGCACTAATCCCAAAAGAAAGGCAACCGCCGAGGCCAGAGGGATACTCAAGAGAGCGGAGCTGTAAACTCGATGGTACTCCCAGTGTTATATCTCTTCTTCTATGCCTTCATTGTGTTAATTACTATACTGCGTCTTTTTTAAGTCTTGATCTTCAAATTACTTTTGCTGGTGTATAAACTCAACAACGAATGATACAGGATGCACTTGTCTTGCGTATTACCTTGGCTTAAGATCAATTCATTTGTTAAAGCTATGGAAACTTTCAATGTCTACTGATATTTTATAAAGATATCCAACTTTTTTTATTGACTAAGAGTACGGGAGAACGGAAAAGCAGGAGGAATTATTGGTCAAAATGAAACTATTGGTCTAATAGAAGGGAAAAAAAAACCTTAAACTGTGGGAGTATGAGCTAATCCAGACACAAACATGTTAATTAACCTCTCAACAGCTCAAAAGTTAGGGTGGCTGCATTAACTTTCTGTCAACTTTCCACCTGACATAGTGCGGGCTTTGAATCGATTGCAGTCTATGATTGTCACAAAATGAACACCTTTTTGTCCACTTGAATTCTTGGGAATTGAAGCTCTCCAACTATATGCTTCCTAATTATTGAGTTTGTAGCTGGACTCACTGCTTCTATTTTGTACTCAGTTTCCATGTCTAAAGCTTTTATTTGATTTGCATTAACATCAATCTACATGGCACATATCAACAACTCATATTTTATTGTCTTCTAATTATTTAAAATCCTTGAATTAAGTAAAACCCAAATTTGTTCCTTTATTTTGGGGATAATTTCAGATACCTCCCTCAAGGTTTTTGACAATTACACTTAAATATCCTCTAAAATTAAAAATTACACTTACCTCCCTCGTAATGGATATGACAACATATTAGCACCAAAAGCCTCCTAATGACCAACTTGCTCTCAAAATGTTGCAGCTAATATTATTGCAAAAATGTGAGAAAAAATTGCCTACAACAATAATATTTTTTATTTGCTTCTTGGCGCAAGCATCTGCAAAAGCAAAATTGATTTTGATATTTCTCAACTGTTATCTTGAGAAGCAAAATTGATTTTATTATTCCTCAATTTTCCATAAAGAGGAATAATGCTAAGAGTTTGAAATAGGATGCATTTTTTACACTTTATTAGGTAATATGATGCCAAGATAGAGCCGTTGCAACCTATCCACTTCTTCTTGCTTCTAACGGTCAAAAGTGCAGAATTGTATATGCACTCTTTGTTGTATTGAGAGGATCCTTACTACTTTCACATCTTTTTTCTCTTTTTTAATTAATTTTTATAAACAAAGTGGCAAATGTTTCGTTCAGAATATAAAGAGGGTAAAGTTGGCAAAAATTCTTGTGTATGTACCTTTTCCCACTTTTTTGACTTTCCTTTAAAGGCAAAGGCTACAATATTTATTAAATGTGTCCATTAAAAGGAGATGAGTGTAATTTTAATTTTAGAGGGGATTTAAGTGCAACTGTCTGAAACATCGAGGGAGATATACGAAATTATCCCTTTATTTTGCTAGCAAACACTAAATAAGAAAATTTGCAATTTGATAAATCAATGAACAATTTTATAAACATATGATAAACAGTAATTTAATTTCAATTGATTTTTTACGTATTATGATGCAACTATTCATTCTCAAACGCAATAGTTTTTATTTTTATCACCTTTTCTCAATTGTTTTAGAAAATGAGAAAAAAATAGAAACAAACAAGCAATCATAATGTTTTTATGAAAAATAAAATAATAAAAAAGAAGACAAGAGCTCACATTTAAGACTTTTTTTTGTTTTGGTTTAAGAATTGTACATAAGCTAGCTGCTAGCCTCTGACAAGATGGAGTTTTCGTTTTGAAGTGCACTACAGACGCCCAGTCTAGGTATTCGACCTCTAGTAGTGACGGAGTCAAAACTTTTTTTCTAGGATGCCAAAATTTTTTCTAATAAAATTATCTTAATATGTTATGTTCAAAATAGTTTTCATCTATTTAAATATATGACATCTAAAAAACATCAAATATTAACATTAATTATAAAGATATGTTTATTTTATAAATATATAGCATAGTCATGATAAAAATTAAGAGAATAAATAACCTTTGAATAAATATTTTATAACATCATAAACCATCCAAGTTGCACATTATGAGAAGATATTCCAATATGTCACCTATTCAATATATATATATATATATATATATATAACTATGTAGTATAAAAATAACTATTTTCAATTAAAAAAAATTAAAGTTATGTTAACATACCTTGAAATTTCAACCTCTTTTCTTAAAAGTAAAATGAGTTTTACGTTCTTTCATAGAATTAAATTCATTTATAATTAAATCATTGTTAAATTTTTCAGCAATTTCCTTTTCTATGTATACAGTTAGGCAATCATTTAAGCAAATATCTTTGAGCTTATTTCGGAGCTTTGTCTTGATTATCTTCATAATTAGAAATGTTCGTTCTTTAGTTGCAGTTGATACATGAAGAGAAGTGAGAACCACTCTAATCAATTGAACTAAGTTGTATATTTGTATATGGGCCAATAAAGTAATTATTTTAATTTTAACCCGTTGATAATTACGTATTAGGTCTTTTTACTATAATATATTAAATTGGGCTAATTTACTATGGATCATCAAATTATATGTTTAGGTTTTTGAAATTTCATAATATAAATTAACAATGCAAAAAATTAAGGAAAGCCAACTTTGTTTTACATATATATTTGTATACTATAAATTAAAATTTTCAAAATTTAGGGGCATGGCCCCTTCAGCCCTCTTGGCTCCATGATTGACCTGTAGAGTTACTTTATAACTCCCACCCTACGTACCCGACGTCTACACGGACTCTATAACTCTTTTTGCCATCACACTACAAGAAATTTGGCCTTTTGTGACAATAAAAAGTCGTCATTATATGCGTATAGTGATGACTTTTCCCATTGTCACATGGTTGTCACTAATTCTATGTCACAAATGGGTATGTGTGACAACCTCTTCAAAGTCATCACTAAATATTGTTATTTAATGACGAAGACTAAGTCTTCACTAACGGTTAGTTTTCTGTGATGACTTTTGTTGTCACTGTTTCACAAATTTTTTTGTCATAAAAAGTAGCAAAAGTCGTCACAAATTTGAACGAACACAGTGCCGACTTGAACTTGTCACTTTCATTCCTAGTATTCAATGACAAGAATAGTCGTCACTTAGTGAACTTACAACTTTGTCTAGAAGAGTTGCAATTGTTCATTACAAATATAACATTGTCACGGCTCTCGTTCTTACAATTATAGCAAAAAAATTAAATTTGGCTAAGAGTGACATCTTTTGGGAAGGTTGTCACTGAATTTTGTCTTAAGGAGTTGAAATTGGCCAATACAAATATAGTATTGCCATGGCATTTTCAACAAATATAACAGAACATTCAATTTGACAAAAGGCAAAATCAACGTAGAATATATGCCGCAAAGTCATATATTTGGCCATAACACATCTATAAATTAATCAAAACAAAAGTGAACCGTAAATGTTGGGAATATAGTAATCCCACATAATCAGCATAAGTAATAATGGCCAATACATATCCTTCCCAAAAGATAGAGTACTAGATTTCTAAACTAAAGTATAGACTACGGAACCAGGTCAGATTTCAATCATCTCTAGCAGCATATGCATCAGCCTTCTCACGATCAAAATATTAAGCTAAACTGCATTGAAAATAAATTTTTCTTTAGAGTTTCAACATATCCAACAATTGTGAACTAATAAGTACAAAAATCAGTCAAAAAGAGAGTTTCAGCCAAAATAAAAGAAAAGAATCTATCTCCTCACCTTTTTTGAAGTCTATCATTTACGCAAGTCTTTCATTTGGGCTATCAACTCCTCGTACAGCCCCCTAGTTTCAAGTTGCTGATCTTGCAAGCTCTTGTACTCAGAACCTCTAATTGTAAAATCTAATGATTTTGGTACGCAGTTTTATTAATCTCGGTTCACCATCCAGTACATTTTGAAGGCTGGCATTTTAGTCATAAACAGGACAAATAGTGATGCAAGTCACAAGTTCATAGGTGTACTAATATTTTAACTAGAGTTGTAACATCTTAGGATGACTACAAAGCTAAACACCCATCTTAATCCTGTGGCTAGAAACAAAGCACTCCAATATCTTGGTCAAATTGTTTATATGAAACCAAATTTACTAGAATTTTGTCCAGACACCTCTTTCATTGTTGATCTGGAATTGACTCAAATTGGGAGCTAACTGGCATCAAAAACTCCTCCACTCGGCAACAATAATTGCAATGCTAGTCAGGCAAAGAACAAAGATGACGATCATTATTATTTAAAAATATTGAAGACCAGCTTTTGTAATTTAGCATTCATTAAGCACTAATGTTGTTTCTAGCTTGCTCCAAATTATCCAAGAGATGGGAAAAAGAATGACATATACATGATCATCTGAAGGTCCTAAAATATAGTTAAATGATGCCAAATACTGATATATCTCTGCAAAATATAACTCTAAGCTGTTGATGGCATAATCAGAGAACACTAGACAAGGAACTGTTTTGTTTTTAACTCTTTTGTTTTGAATTAATTAGCAGAGGATAGAAAACCAGACAAGGACATCTATTATTTACTCTATTATTATGTAACTAGTCAATGCCATCTCTATTGATGATATTTAGCAATCTATCAAACTTAGAGTCATTTAATTTTCCCAAGATACAAAGAATGCTCGAGATCTTAAATACCTGATTTTTGCAGGGCTTGTAGCCGCAATTGAAGTCGTTTCACTTGCCCATATGGTATCTCATTCAAATCAATCCTATTTGGACGCGAGAATTCAGGTGCTGAGGTTGAATGCACATTGGCTATTTCCATTGCTAGCATAGCTTCTTGGGGAAATAATATTTGTGCAAATGCCACTGCCAGAAGCCAAAAACTTTAGGACATATTGAAGTTCTAGGAATTACATTCAATGATGCAGGAAAGGATGATTAAAACAGTAAAAGAAACTTTGGCAACTGCAGTAGGGAAGATGGGACTAACTTACAACACCTGGAACCCTTGTCAAATGACACATCACCATGTGAAGAAATATAGCAAACTAGATGCCAAGTAGGGGAGCTTGTCACTCAAAAACCACTCCACCACAACTAAAGGACTACCAGAGGATTCTTCAGTTGAATGAGAAGTGAACTTTCTGAGCTTGTCAAGATTAAATTCTTTCAATTGGTATAATAGCTAAATTCATCAGACCTTTTCACTGGCTGATAACCAGAAATAAAATTGTTTCAGCCTTCTATTAAGGACAGAGAAGTATTACTTGGTATTTCCAGAGGATACGTAAATCATTACACAGTTCTTGTTATGTTCTACTCCAAAACCATGTATTGTCTTTTTGTCTCTAAAAAATGGAAACTTTTTCCTTTCTCTAAAGATTATAAAGGAAGCACTTGTTTCCAGAAGAAATTAAGTTTCATCTCAGAATAAATTTGGTTGCTACTTTAATCACAAATATTCCAGCTTGATTCAATTTCAGGGCATTAGGCTTATAAAATTGGTACATGTCCAGGGAACAGCAAAGGTTTTACCAATCGTTGCCATCTAACGCAACAGTTTGGCTGAAAGTTTCTCATTAGATCATCATACATTGACTACCTGATTTTCAATTAAATAATGAAACTTGGGACTTTTGCTTGATCAATAAGTCAAGGCTCAATACTTTTCCTGATTATACTACATACATTTCATTTTTTTCAATCCTCTAGGCAAGTCAAGAAAGTAGAACCAACACAATGCCTGTATTATTTATTTATACCATTATGTGTCGCTCATAGTTACTGATGCAGGCTCAAAAACACATGTACAAAAAATTCAGATTGAAAAGTAAACCTTCAAAAGTTGATGCCACCAGAAATGGATGCAAATAATTATATTCAAGGAGCCTATTTTAAGAAGATGGTGTCCCACTGGGGTCAATAAGGCATGGATACAGTATTGAACTTTATAGATAGAAATATAACCTCTATTTTCAAGGATCAGCAGCTTCATAATCAAATCATCTGCCACCACCATTGATGACATACACAGAGTACCAGCTAGTGGATTTCTAAGCATTTCTTTTTCCAACACATCAATGCATAATCTGTCTTTATTTGGACAATCCATCTGGTGTAACTTTTTCTAATTCCAAATGTAAATAAGTGGTTCTCCACCACACTTTTTGTATGGTTGCAGAAGTTATTGCATTGTTTACAAGGGCAAGCTATTGTAAGATGTTTTGCCTTTCGAGAATATGTGAATTTTAAGAAAGCAGCCACCCCAAGTTTATAAGACTCGTCCTGTCTATTATCAAGTTTCATCCAATTTTTGTCCATTTCCTAGAGTTACAAATCGAGAACATAAGTCACGGAGGTAAAAACGGGCCTAATTGTCTTTTGAGTCCAGTGTAAAGCAGCTGCAACAAAGGCAATGAAAAAGCTGAGAACCATTTTTCAACTAAGGCTCCAATGAAAAAGCTGATTAGTGAAGAAATATATAGAAAATAGATACCCAAACATAATGCACCAAGTGTGGTAACCTGTTTAATAGGGGTAGATATGTACCATCAGAAACAAAATCAGTTGCACAAAAAATTGAGAAAAAGAATGAACTACATGCATAGTTTCTAAGCTTCAGGAGATAGCTAGTTATGTATAACTTAGTTGGTGGGAAATGATGGTTGATTCATGTTTAGAATTTTAGGGATCCAACAGAGCAAATGTCTAAAGACGAATCCATTGGAAGACAGGCACACTTGCAAGGTAGACATGGACATGATTTTCTTTCAGTTGCCTACGGATAAAACTGAACCCGAAACTGCAGACTGTAGAGCAGATGCATCTGACAATATTTGACATGAATCCACCAGAATTAGGCATTAGAAAGTAGAAACCATACTAGTATTGAAAGTAAAGGCACGAAGATTCTAGAAGTTCACAAAATTCATCTAAAGAGACAACAATGTAAATTCCGTCCTTGATGAAATAAAAGCCGCCATGCATCTATAGGCAATAGAATAAACTAAGGGTGACCCAGAATCAAGCATCTTCAACCCACGAAAACCTCCAGAATTTCCGAAGTTTCCTCCAGAATTTCTAAAATTTCCTCCAAAATTTCCTCCCTTCCAAGATTCAGCTCAACATTCAGCTCACAACCCTCCCTTGCAAGATTCAGCTCAACATGCAACTCACAACTCTCCCTTCCATTTCGTTTCACCCTCACAACTCAACATTCAGCTCACACGACCTACATTAGACAGAACTGTTCGAAAATAGATGGAAAATATTGAGATTTTTTACCTCAAATTTTGCCATGACAACCTTAGGTCTTCTTTTCCTTCTGATTCAGTCTTCAAACTCTGGCTTTTCCCCAAAATTCATGGTCAAATGCCGTGACAAACTAGGGATATTTGTTATCTCCTACTCTACTAAAGCTGCCCTATCAATTTGGGTAGCTCAATTTAGGGATGCAAATGGTGGCTCAACTTAGGGATATTTGCTATTTGCTACCTACTAAAGCTGCCCTATCAGTTTGGGTAGCTCAATTTAGTGATTATCTCAGTAATTTTGGCAAGATCCCAATGGAAAGAAGGAAAAGATGGTGTCTGAAGGCAAAGAAAGAGGGAAATGAGTTTTGTCTGAAATTTGGCTAAGTGTTGTTGAGTATTTTTCTTCCAAATCAACTTCAAACGACATCGTTTCTGCTTCTTTTAGAACCCCGCCTCTACTCCTTCAGTTTTCAGCTTCCCGCTTCCACTATTGCACACTAAAAAATAATGCCTTCTCTCTCTAAATTGTTGAACCTTTTTTATAGAAATAACGCCTTCTATCTCTTTTTCTTTTCCCAATCTTTGTGCAATTAACATTGTTTATTATTTTGAGCTTTTTTAGTTCACAAGTTGTATTAAAACTTTTGAATATAAAAATTTAGTATTTTTGAGGATTTTTTCTTTTTTTACTAACATAGGTTTTTTAGGTGTTATAACATATGCAACCAAACAAGTGAACAAACAAGAACACAAGCTTCAGGGGTGTTGCCCCCCGAGCCCCCCAGCCTGGACGCGTCGCCCCCTGGACCCCCAACTTGCTGACCGGGCAGCGAGACCCCCAAACAGCTCAGCGAAGGTTGAAAACTTGATTCAAGGCATCTCAACATTAGGATCTCTACCAAAAATAATGTTAAAAAACTAAAAGGCTTATTAAAAATATGTTTATGATTCAAAAAAAGATCTTTTAATGCAAATATTTTTGGTATCAATTTAATAATTTTATCAATTATGCACGAATTGTGGTCTGACAAGACCAAACAATCTGTTTAGTTGATCAAATAACCAAAATTGTTTACTACTACATGCATGAAACACTAAATCTATTTGATACAAGTACTGATTCATAAACCATAAACAATTTGATTATTGTAAATTGTAATACATAACAAACTCCAGTCATGCAATTGTCAAGATTTTTACTTAATTTCATATTAAATTTTATTATTCTCTACCATTATTTTCACACTATGTTAATCAGTAATTTCCCATATGTTGTCAAGAGAACTAAATAATGAATTCATGATATTTTTTAACTTTATAACAAGGTATTAGTTACGTTTGGAATAATTAAAAAATAGGTAAACATTGTTTTTTACAATACCTTCCTCATTTTGCTAATGATGAACACAACCTAAAGTGTAAAAGCATAGGGTGCCATAATAGAATTAATAAAACCTTTCTTTATCACATACGAGGCTAAATTGTAAAAGATAAGGTGTCAAGGAAGAGTTAATGAGATTAGTTTACCAAATACGGGGCTAAAATATAAAAGTTCAGCAAAATAACATAATTAATTAAATTTACTTACAGCATATGGGCCATATAGAAAAAATTTGGGTGGCATATGGGGCTAAAATGTAATAGTTAGGATGTCATATAGTAGAATTAATAAAATTTATTTACAACACATGGGCCATATTAAAAAATTAAGGTGGTATATGGGGCTAAAATGTAAAAGTTAGGGTGTCATAGTAGATTTAATAAAATTTATTTACAACACATGGGCCATATTAAAAAAAATAAGGTGGTATATGGGGTCAAAATGTAAAAGTTAGGGTGTCATAGTAGAATTAATAAAATTTATTTACAACATATGGGGCATATTGAAAATATTAGGGTGACATAGTAGAAATAGTGAAAGTGGGATGGGAATAAACGCTTTGGACAGTGACAACTAGTTGTTGTCACTAATTTAGAACTGGCAACCATATTGTGACAATATTTTAAGTTGTCACTGTAGGACCAACTTCAGTGACAACATGTTTTCCAGTCGTCACAATGGTGATTTCCCGCCACACTGGATGGTTGCGCGCCGTCCAAATTGTGATGACTTATTCCGTGTTATCACCGTTGACGGGTGAACCCACGATCAAGTATGACGACATTAAAAGTCGTCACTAAAGTTTTCAATTGTGACAACTTTCTCTATTGTCAAAGCGAATATTGTCATAAAAGGCCAAATTTCTTGTAGTGTCAGAACTTCACTTTCTTTCAAATACAATCATTTCAAAGCTGGCATCTCTTAAAGGCGAACTTCACTTCTACGAGCTCACGTTATGTGAATTCTTGAGAGTTGGTATTATCAAAATGCAAAGATCCTATAAAAGAAACTACTAGTAGTATGATTTTAAAATTCGTAACAAAGTTGGGAGGATAAAATTCCTCCATTTTGTAAATTTTGAAATGCTAAGATGGATCCGTTCTATTGTGCTAACGGAGATGTATTATACTAACGGAAGTGTAATTTTTGAGAGGATAAAATTCTTACCAATTATTGTTTTTAGGTGTGAAGAAAGGTTTTGCAACTTAGATGTCTTGCTCAACCTTTGAGTAAAGTCAATACTTCTTTTTGGTATGATTCTAAGCATTCTTTGGGTCCCTTGTACAAAAAATATAAATACCCCGTCTCTCTACTCGAAAGTTTGGGTCTAACTATAAAATCAAAAGTTATTGACTTTATCAGAGGTGATGATTGGGAAGTGACAACATGGGGGGAATTTACCCGCTTTGGTTAGTGACTTCAAAAAGTCTACCCCTTTATCTTTGCTATATAACTTATATCGACCAGATCAAATGGCAGGAAGAAATTGTTCTGTTCTGGTGTTAAGATAAGGTGGTTCAACCTGATATGGGGCAAAGCGCATATTCCCAAGTTTGCTTTTGTGCTTTGGTTGGCTATACTGGAAAGATTGATGGCAAAAAAGTGGTTCAACCTGGCATGGGGCAAAGCTCATATTCCCAAGTCTTCTTGTGTGCTTTGATTGCTTATACAGGAAAGATTGATGACAAAGGATAGGGTTTGTAGGTGGGGTGTCACTAATGAATCTATGGACAATTGTTTTTTAGTTGTTACTTTTTGCATTGTGCTTGGGATACAGTTCAAAGGATGTGTTTTTTTTTTGTTTGTTTTTTTTGACAGAGGTACTTTATATTAGAGGTAGAATGAGTTGGAAAGGATGTTTTTACTTTATATAGAAGTGGAAGTAGCGTGAGTTGGCAACAGGAAGTGTTATGGTGGAGTAAGCATGCATGCTTTGATTCGTTTGTTGCTAAATTCAAGAGGTTGGTTTTAGCAACAGTTTGGAACAAGCATATTTTTTCAGCAATCCATAAACAGAAAATCCCATTTCTGATATTAAAAAAAAATTATCATAATTTATCAATGTGATCTACGTTATTGCACAGTATACGAATCCGTATGAAAAAAGAATCTTTACGGATCAACTACCGTGTTAACTTACTCACTATCATGAACTGAATATATCTTTTCAAAGCATACCAACTAATCTAATTGTGCATCAGATTTCAAATGCCTAAGTGCTTAATCCACTTCACTTCGCTATGGTTGATTGGTTACTTGAAAATTAGGCAGCAAGCGAGCAAAATTATCACCTTGAAAATATTAAGTAGATCATGCACAATATGAAGCATATGTAATGTGATGGTCTAAAATCAATCACTCATCACTAATAAGTATTAGATAAAAAAAAATGACTGACTTTAATACTCAGTGATGGATGATTAATATTTGCATTACATGATATTTCCACATGGTATAC